AACCATGTATAGAGCAATAAAAATAATGTGTAGCATGCGCACACATCAGCGGACCAGTCCAAAAGAGCTTCATATTTTTTGCAATTTTTGGTCTTCTCTGCACCCTTTTGTCTCCTAGCCTTTTCCCAGTTCGACCTCAGCTATTTGGGACTGATATAGATCAATTTTTCTTCTGATTTTTGCAAGAAAAATCTAGAGGAATTTCGTGCTCACCTTACCCAGTTCGATCTAAGCAATTGGATTGAAGTTTTGTTGAAAACTACGTTGCTGAACTGACTTCAGGAGTACATTGTGCCATTTTCAGTGGAGGATGGTTTTAGGACTGATTTGAGCGTGAACTTCCACCTTGAGATCTGCATTTGTTGTATCCATATCAGGTATACATCTCCTTCTTTGTTTGGTTTCAAATCTGGTCTGGTTCAGTGCAAGACCGATCCTAAAAGATGTTGTTTTTCAAAACATTGGGAATTCGATTCCTGGAAGGATTAGAAAATTTTTGAAATTTCACCCAGCCATTTAGCAAGGTCCGGCCAGCTATCCATATGATGGATCCTAACCCTTTCTTCAGCATTGATTGGATGGGTTGTGTTTCTTCACACTAGGAGATTGGGGTTTGCACCAAGCTCCCAGGTCAAGCACACAAGCATAGAGCTATTGCTTGGCATTCAACCAATATAGCTGGTGGGTCTTGTTAGGTCGCCAGTGCTACACTCTACCCTTCAACGATGAGCTATGTGTGGCGAGGTGGTTCTTGGCACTCGAAATGGACCACACAACCTCAAGGTGACATCATCCCTCCAAGGTGGGATCTCGTAATCAGAGATGTGAAAGCCTCGATGACCGCCATGTCGTCAAATCCTATGGGGGGTTACATCTACCTCCATTAGATATATATTCCCATATTTTCTTAAATGGGAAAATATTTTATCTTGTTAATTTAATTTTTTAATTTACATTTTTTATAATATCATTGTAAATTTTTTAATTTATTTTTAATTTTTTAAATTTAACTTTTTCAAATTGATCGATCAAACCAAAAACCAATCCAAACTGATACAGCCCATATTCACCAATTTTCACTAACGATCAATCAGTCTTGAGCGACCAACTATCACCGACTTCTCTTCTTCTTTTTTTTTTGGTGTGAGTGCATTTTATGCTCCATCTCACACGGGTCACAGACTAGATGCAGATTACAATATTCATATTCCAAGGTGCTAGTTTTACTATTCAACTTGGAATAGCGGAGTTGGGACTGAACTCATATCATAAACCGCTAGTTTTACTATTTAGTTCATGATAGCGAAGTAATTCGGAATTTGTCCCTTTCTCTTCTTCTTTTTCTTTTCTTGCAATTGTTGAATACATGCATCAATAGTTCATGATGTTAACTAATGGCTCGAGTGTTCATTAAGATTTCAACCAAGTACACTATACACATGAATAGAGTTAGTGCTGGTCATGATCAAAGTCCAATTCGACTTCCTCATCCTCATGTATTGTGATAAAATTGGATGATTCAAAGGAATAAATTCTAGCACTTACAAGTGATTGTCCTTCAACTTCACTATATTCCCCCTTGGAATTCACCTTATAGACAGCAATAATTTTTAGGGGATTTCCAGTTTATGTGGTCTATCAATGCATTTATGTATTAGGGTGCATAGCTATATCCCTACACCCGCACACTTATCATGAGCATTGCCCTCAATGTTCATGTAGATAGGGTGTGAAGATGGTTTCAGCAATGTGGATAGTAAGAATTCAAGCGTTTGAGGGGATTTAGAGAACTTCCCTGAAGAGTGTTCTGAAATCTGGAATGGCTCCTTCGTTTGGACCCTCTAGCTACTAAGAATCAAAAGAAACTAGGAGGAGGGAATTAGAAACACTAGGGGTGATCAACAATCTACTGAAACAAGATCCTAAAAAAAATTTGAATGATATGAAAAAGAAAACAGAAAAACAAGTAAATAAATAAAAAAAAACTACTTATCAACATTGGATTGCCTCCCAATAAGCGCTTGTTTTCTGTCTAAAGCTCGACATTCTAGTGGCATCAACGATCGTCTAGAAAGACAGTTGATGGGGTAGGCAATGTTCCATTCACTATATATGGTTTGAGGCGCTGACCATTGACCTTAAATGTGCCCTATGTCGGGTGCATCACCTCTACAGCTCCATGAGGGAAAACTTGTGATATGGTGAAAGGTCCAAACCACCTCAATTTCAGCTTGCCTGGGAACAACCGGAGGCGTGAATTATACAATAATACTTGTTGTCCCAACTGAAAGTCATGCCTCAATAAATTCTTGTCATGCCATCGTTTGGTTCTTTCCTTGTAGATCTTGGCATTCTCATAGGCTGCAAGTCATAATTCATCCATCTCATTAAGCTGCATTCATCTCTGTTCACCTGCGGCCTTCAAAGCAAAATTTAATAACTTCAGGGCCCAATATGCCTTATGCTCAAGTTCAATAGGTAAATGACATGGTTTTCCAAAGACCAACCTATATGGGGACATGCCGATGGGTGTTTTGTATGTAGTCCTATATGCCCACAATGCATCATCTAGCTTGACTGACCAGTCCTTTCTAGAAGAGTCTACAGTCTTCTCCAAAATTCTTTTTAGTTCCCTATTAGCTAATTCAACTTGACCATTGGTTTGAGGGTGATATGGGGATGCTAATTTATGCGTGACACCATATTTTCGCATCAGCCGCTCAAATTGGGTGTTGTAGAAATGAGTTCCCCTATCACTAATTATGGCGCGAGGTGTGCCGGATCGAGTGAATAGATTTTTGAGGAAGTGAACTATTCTCCTAGAGTCATTTTTGGGTAAAGCCACAGCTTCCACCCATTTGGACACATAGTCAACAGCGACTAGGAGGTATTTATTTCCAAAAGAATTTGGGAAGGGTCCCATGAAGTTAATACTCCATACATCAAAGACTTCACAGATTAATATATTAGTGAGAGGCATTTCATTCTGTCGAGAGATGTTACCTTTCCTTTGGCATTGGTCACATGCGGACACATACCTGTGAGCATCCTTGAACAAGGTGGGCCAATAGAAACCTGATTACAACACTTTGGCTATGGTAAGGTTGGCTCCAAAATGGCCTCCTACTTCCCTTTCATGGCAATATCAGAGTACCGACTCCATCTCCTCGTCGGGGACACACCTCCGAATGATCTGATATGCACAAAGCTTATACAAAAAGGGGTCCTCCCACAAATAGTATTTCACATCAGAGAAGAATTTTTTCCTCTATTGATATGAAAGATTAGGAGGGAGGATGTTTCCAACAAGATAGTTGGCAAAATTAGCATACCAAGGAGATGTATCTACCTGAATGGAATAGAGTTGCTCGTCCGGAAACTCATCTCGAAGAGTGCTGGTTGTCTTCCCTTCCAAATCTGAATCCTCTAACCGGGAGAGATGGTCTGCGACAAGGTTCTCGGTACCCTTTTTGTCACAGATTTCAACATCAAACTCTTGCAACAACAAAATCCACCTGATTAGCCTTGGCTTTGCATCCTTCTTTGCAAGTAGATGTCTGAGTGTCGAGTGATCTGTATACACAATAACCTTGGACAAAATTAGATATGAACGAAATTTATCAAAAGCAAAAATTACCGCTAGTAGTTCGTTTTCCGTCGTGGTGTAATTCTGTTGAGCTCCATTCAAGGTCCTACTAGCATAGTAAATCAATTGAAAATGTTTGTTCATTCTTTGTCCTAGAAAAGCTCCAATTGCTTAATCACTCGCATCGCACATCAACTCAAAAGGGAGTGTCCAATCTGGTGCTATTATGATCAGGGCATTAATCAGCTTGTCCTTCAAGATGTTGAACGCTTCTATGCATTCCTTTGTGAAATCGAAGGGCACATCCTTCCATAGCAGATTGGATAATGGCTTGGCTATCTTGGAGAAATCCTTGATGAACCTTCTGTAGAATCCTGCGTGTCCCAAGAAGCTTCTCACAGACCGGATGGATGTTGGTGGTGGAAATTTCACAATTGTCTCCACCTTGTTTCTGTCGACCTCAATCCCTCTCTGTGAAACCTTATGTCCAAGCACAATACGTTCTTGCACCATGAAGTGACATTTCTCCCAGTTCAGCAATAGATGGGTTTCCTTGGAATGCTTGAGTACCTTTCCCAAGTTATGTAAACATGCATCGAAGGAAGAGACAAAGACTAAAAAGTCGTCCATGAAAATCTCCATAATCTTCTCAACCATATTAGAAAATATAGCCATCATGCACCTCTGAAATGTTGCTGGAGCATTGCATAAACCGAATGGCATCCTCCTGTAAGCAAAGGTACCGTAGGGACATGTGAAGGTGGTCTTCTCCTGATCTTCCGGTGAAATCGGAATCTGATTATAGCTTGAGTACCCATCTAAGAAACAATAGAACTCATGTCCGGCTAGCCTCTCTAGCATTTGATCGATGAAGGTTAGAGGGAAATGATCTTTGCGAGTGGTTTCGTTTAATCTTCTGTAATCAATGCACACTCGCCACCCGGTAACCGTCCTTATCGGTATGAGTTCATTCTTCGCATTTGGTACCACAGTCATGCCACCTTTCTTCGGCACTACTTGGACGGGGCTCACCCATGAGCTGTCGGAGATCGGATAGATAATACCTGCGTCTAACAGCTTGATGACTTCTGCCTTCACCACATCCTTCATGTTCGGGTTCAGGCGTCTTTGGGGCTGAACCGTGGGCTTGCTTCCATCTTCCATCAGAATTTTGTGGGTGCAAATGGACAGGTTGATACCCTTGATGTCTGCTATCTTCCAAGCCAGAGCTGTCTTGTGTTCCCGTAGCACCCGTAATAGTTTTTCCTTCTGCAAAGGGGTCAAGGCTGCTGATATTATCACTGGTAGGGCTGAAGGTGCTTCTAAGAAGGCATACTCCAGATGCGGTGGGAGTTGCTTCATCTCAAGGGTGGGCGGCTCTTCAATTGAAGGCTTGCTTTCTGGCATCGAGGGTCTATCCAAGCTCTCCAACTTGATGAACCCCTTTCCCTTGGAACTGCGGATTGGCATTCAGGTACGCTATCATGCTTTGCATTTCTTCATTTTCTCCCATTATGGCTTCTCCTTCTTGTATGCATAGCTCAAGGGGGTCTCCCAACCTGTTAACCTGAAAACACCCACCAATCGCATAGTCAATGACATATATCATATAACATGAATCATCACTAGAAGGTGCATGTTTCATAGCATCATACATTTTAAAAATCACTTCCTCATCTTGAATCCTAAGGCTGAGTTGCCCTTGTTGGACATCAATCATTGCCTTTCCCGTAGCTAGGATGGGTCGCCCTAGGATGAGAGGGACATCAACGTCCTCTTGCATGTCTAATACTATGAAATCTACTGGAAAAATGAATTTGTCAACCTTAACAAGCATATCTTCTATGATTCTCCTAGGATGCTTGGTGGACCTATTAACTAATTGCAATGCAACTCTAGTGGGTTGGGGTTCACTCAACCCTAATTTCTTAAAAACCGAATAGGGCATCAGATTTATACTAGCTCCTAAATCATGCAATGCCTTATTAATTTTTAAACTTCCTATAGTGCAAGGAATAGTAAAACTCACTGGATCTTTCAGTTTTTGAGGCAGCTTGTTGAGGAAGATTGCTGAGCACTCTTCATTCAATGCAACTGTAGCCACATCTCCCAATTTCCTTTTGTTCGCCAAGATTTCCTTCAGGAACTTTGCATAGTGCGGCATCTGGGCTAAGGCATTTCCAAAAGGAATGTTAATATGCAAACTCTTGAAAATTTCAAGAAACTTACCGAATTCCTTTTCCATTTTGTGTTGCTTAAGCCTATTGAGAAATGGTACTTGTGGTTGTTGACTTGTCTCCTTCATTAAATCAAATTGCTCTTCCTCTTTCTTTTCGGTTTCTAGGGTTGCACCCATCTTACCTTCTTCCTTTGCTTTCTTCTCCACCTCTTGCAGCTCCTTACCACTCCTCAAGGTAATGGTTTGCACCTGTTCTCTTGGATTTGCTTTGGTATTGCTGGGTAAGGTACCTTGGACTCTAAAAGATATCATCAGTGCCAACTGACCCACTTGAGTCTTCAAGTTCTTGATCGATGCCTCTTGGTTCTGAAATCTCGTTTCCGCACTTGATATGAACTTGGTCATCAGCTCCTTGATAGCTATGAATATATAACCCTAGCAAGTGCACTAGTTATCAAATAGTATAATAATATCGTTCCCACGGGGATTTAACAAAATAAGTATTAGAACCACCATCTTCCCTAATTATTTGGACAATCGCAATTCAAATTTGAGCAAGACTACTGAAAATAAAAACTAGAAAAAAAATGGAAACAAAGGTGATCACTAACCGAATATGCAATGGATGAAATCGCTAGGACTTTAGGTCCACCTAACCAATGTAATGAATATTGATGGGTTCGATTAACCAAGATTATTTGTCATTCCCATAAGCTGAGGTCTT